TGGACCTGATTTGCATATACAGGAAAGGATTAGAAATTGGTTTTGATAGCTTAAGGCTGCCTTTGTACTTTACGATCAAGAGGCGGAGACTTTTTCTCCCTGGGTGTGTGTGTGTGTGTGTGTGTGTGTGTGAGTGAGTGAAGAGTGTGTTAGCACGTTCCACTGATGATTAAAAATGTATCACGCATTTGAACAAAATTTAATATCTGGCAGAAATATATGAACATTTATTTAGAGAGATAGTGTTTAATTCTAGCAACTTAGTTTGTTACTCTATTGATACTCAGTGCTAGAGTCTATGTTTAAGTGTAGGCCTAAGTTTAGGAAAATTTAAAGTATAATATTACCAGCCTAATTTGTTACTCTGTATTAAAAAGCCTCCAACCTGTGCCTTAGTCCTAGGCTTAATACAAGACCTAGATGTAGACATACACCTAGACTATGTCTGCTTCTGCAGGCATTTTAAAAGTGTGTAATACTACACACAACTTAATTTACTAGGCACTGCAGCACTTAAATTAATTAGTTAAACTGCTGAGTTTAAGTCTGGGTCTGCAGACATTTTAATGTGTGTAATGTCTTTGGGTCTAAGTCTGGTTGCACATCTGCAGACATTTAAAAAGGTGTAAAACTGAATAAATATTGTAAGTCAGGATGTAAGTCTGGGTCTAAGTTTGGTTTTATGCTTGCAGACATTTAAACGTAAAACTAACTTAATTTTTGTTTGTGTCTATGTTGGGTTCTAAGTCTGGTTGTGCATCTGCAAGCATTTTAAAATGTGCGAAACTTAGTTTTATAAGTATGGGTCTATGTCTAGTTCTACATCTGCATCTACAGTGGTGTGAAAAAGTTTTTTCTGTTTTTTTAATTGTTTGCATATTTGTCACACTTAAAAGATTCAGATCATCAAACAAATTGTAATATTACACAAAGATAACCTGAGTAAATACAATTGGTTTGATGATCTGAATCTTTTAAGTGTGACAAATATGCAAACAATTAAAAAAACAGGAAGGGGGCAAAAACTTTTTCACACCACTGTATGTCTGGATCTGGTTTTATGTCCGCAGTCATTTTTAACGTAATTGTTATGTCGGAGTCTATGGGTCTAAGTTTGGTTTTATGTCTGCAAACATTTTAAAATGTGTAAAACTAACTTAATTTTATAAGTCAGGGTGTAAATCTGATTCTAAATCTGGTTGTACATCTCCAGACATTTTGAAATCTGTAAAATGAACTTAATTTTATAAATCAGGGTGTAAAGGCCTGTTCACACCAACAATTAATAACAATAAAGATATAGTTCTAAAAATCGTTCTCAATATAAAAGATTCGCAGATATTTTTCCAGCTGATGAACGATAAAAACATTGACAGCCAATCAGAATCAATCCTGCTACAATGAGCTCGAGAATTTAAAGCAGCAGGCGAGTGTGCATTTAGAATAAACAGACGATATCATCTGCTGGTGTGGACGCTAATATAGTTATCTTTATAGTTATCGTTCCTTGTGTGAACGGGCCTTAAGTCTAGGTGTAAATCTGGTTGTATGTCTGCAGACGTTTTAAAGTGCATAAAACTACATTTTATAAATCAGGGTGTAAGTCTGGATCTAAATCTAGTTGTACGTCGTCTGCAGAAGTTTTAAAATGTGTAAAACTAACGTAATTTCATAAATCATGGTCTAAGTCTGGGTCTAAATCGGGTTGTACATCTTCAGACCTTTTAAAATGTGTAAAACTAACTTAATTTCATAAATCATGGTCTAAGTCTGGGTCTAAATCTGGTTATACATTTTCAGACCTTTTAAAATGTGTAAAACTAACTTGGATTTGTAAATCTGTAAGTCTGGGTTTATGTTTAGTTCTAGAGTACATCTGGGTGTCTGTCTGGGTCTATGTCTGGATCTAAGTCTAGTTTTATGCTTGCAGATGTTTTAAAATGTGTAAAACTCAGTTTGATAAGTCTAGGTTTATGTTTAGAACTAAGTCAGTATCTAAGTCTAGCAAGTTTGGTAAGTGTTGCAGTCTGGGTCTGCAAATAATGTAGACAACTTAGTGTAATACTACCCGCTTAATTTGTGTTGTAGTCTAAGTTGGGGTCAAGGTCGAAGTCAGAGCCTAAGTCTACGGTCTAGGTCTATGTCTATGTCTATGTGCATTTTAAAGTGTGTAATATTAGTTAATTTCTTTGCTACTGTTGATAATCAAGCAAAGTGTTGGAGTTTAGGTCTAGGTCTGTGTCTAAATCTAAGAATGCCACTCCCACCTTCTTATAAATGTAAGGACTGGGAAACATTTCATACTCCAAGGAACCCATTAAACTTGTATTTTTTTGCTCCTCATAATGTGCAGTATTATAAGCCCCAGTTTCAAAAGCCTTTCCTTTGAACGTCTTAAGTGCCGTTCAACAGAGGCACATAAACCTGGCTATTTAAACCCTGACACACACACACCACACATTCAGAAGCGAGCACGTACACGCACACACATAGGAAAGAGATAAACCAGCATGTTTTTAGGCGTTGTCAGTGGGAGGTAAGTTTGCTCAGATAGCCGCGAAGCAACAGGAGAGACAAAGGCACAAAAAGGAGATTTTTGCCCTCTCATGTTCCTCTTTCCTTTATAATTTCTGTTTTCACTTCTCTTGCTCTTTGTCTGTATACTGTTTGGGTTGAAGTCGACTGTGTGCCAAAGACTCCTCCGTACATGGAGTGAAAGCCCAGCTCTTAAAGGATTGGGCTGTATTCTTCCCACTGGGAGCGTGGGAAGACTGACTTGTGTGGTAGCGGCAAAGAGATCTAACGAAGGACTAAATTCTCTCGTAGCTTCACGAAGCACGCCCCCGTCTTTGTACACTCACTTTGCGTGTGTGGCAAACAACATATATTTTATTGGGCTTTTAACGATGTAAACATGTAAATGGGAGCCAGGCAGAAATACACATGGAATGGATATGTGGAGGTTTCTTTTCACAGACGGATAAAAATAGCTCCTTCAGCTTATTTGTGCAGTGCAGTTTGCTGTTGGATGTAGAATGGAGGAAACACAGTAGTTTATTGCACAAAAACGTTCTTTTACTGGTAAAATGGAGTAGTGACAAATTAATGCGCAAGAATTCAAGTGAGCGAGTGTGAATGCAGAGATGAAGGACAGATGGAGGGAGAGTTTAAGTGGAGAGGACAGAGGGTTTGCAGGCAGGACTTCATCAGATCAGCCGAACTTACATGTGTTGTTGTGTAAGGGTCAATATTGCGACACATTATCTAGATAAATTATATTTTATAGGGCTGTCATTTTAGCGCATTAATTTAATTAATTAGTTAGGGAAAATAATGCAATTAAAATATTTTAACGTAATTAACGCCCCATTTACCGCCACCTGCTTGGCAGTTTTAGTTTCTTATTTAGAATATCATTCATTAAAACAACAACAATAATAATAATAATAATAATAACAAATAAAGTGATAGTTCACCCAAAAATAAAAATTCTGTCATCATTTACTCTCATGTCGTTTCAAACCTATATCACTTACTTTCTTTTATGGAACATAAACAAAAATAATGAAGAATGTTTGTAACCAAGCTGATTTGGTTACCAATGACTTTCATTGTATGAACAAAAAATATTGAGATGTTTCTCAAATTATCTTTTTTTATGTTCCATAGGTTATGTTAGGCTGTTGTAGCCTAAACGGTTTTTGTAATACATTTTATGTTGATTCAAATGAAAATATTTCTTTCTAAAGCTATTTTTTTGTTATGTCTACTTGATATTTCTTTCTAATTTAACACAATAATGGCTTTTAATTATCTTTTGGGGGTATAATAATATAAATTATATTGTTTTGTTATATAAAATATATAATTATATAATAATAATAATAATAATCTATAAATAAATATATAAATATTACAGCTCATCTATAATTTTATTTGTTTATTTGTGTATTTTTATTAAGCATCCGTTTCCATGGAATATTTGTATGGATCTTGTGATATATATATATTGTGTTGCATTTACAAAAAATGTTTAACATTAATTTGAATACTTTTTTATTGGGGCTTAAAGGAAAAAAAAAGAAAGAAAGTCAAAGTTTAATCATCCCTTTATTGCCTGTTAAATTAGATAACTTTGTATGAACTTTATGATATTCATAAAAAATAACAAGCAAACAAACAAAACAAAATAAATAAAAATTATGAAAATGTTTACAGCCATTAAAAACTTCTCTTACAAATGGTTACAAACGTTTTTCTATAAGATATTAAACTGACATAAATGCAGAGATTTCTTATTTCAAAATAATTTTCTTTTCATCGTCTTTGTCTCTCCTTATTTCTCATTGACCCAAGCTGAATGCAAAATTGTAGGTCACATGCTATTCACGACGAATGTATGCCATTCATTATTATGGCAAAAGGCAGTAATAATGGCATTATCTCATTTTACGGCTTAAAAAAAGAAAAAAAAAATCATCACTCCAGCCTAATTGCATGGACGTATTCAGATTCAATTAAATACAGAAAATGAAACGGAGCTAGTGAAAGAGCGCATAAACAGAGGCCATGCAGTAACTCATTATAAAATCATCAATACCAGAATCACACAAATTAGTCGCCCCTTCTGCTGTCTTTTGCCAGGGCCATAATAGTCAAGCTAAATTAAATGTTAATGTGTTTTTGATAAGCTTTGTCCATCTCTTTTGGCTTTGTAAACTTGCTCAGCAAGGTGATGTAATTTTCCCGTCCAGATGAAACGAGTCAAGGGAGACGTCGACTGAAAATCTGACGTGGAGTAATTGCTGTGTAATGTTGTGACAGCGAAGTATCACACTGATTAGGTGGCTTTCTCCTGTTTAAAACATGAGCAATCCACAATAAAAACTACTCACTTCATGCCACAGGTTACCTTTTACAGGTATTAGCTACATAAATGTATGATTAAGCAATATGTTTATACATTAAAACCTTTTGTCTCATATTCATGTTTCTTTTAGGTAACCGGCCATGTGTGGTGCTGACAGCAAGAGTTCATCCAGGAGAGAGCAATGCCAGCTGGGTACTGAAGGGCACGCTGGAGTTCCTGTGCAGCAGTGATCCTGTAGCCGAGAGTTTGAGGGGGGCCTACATCTTCAAAATCATCCCCATGCTGAACCCTGACGGGGTCATTAATGGCAAGTATGTATATACACACACGCACACACACACACATGCTCAGTGTGCGAATGACTACATTTATTACTTTCAAAACATTGAATTTAGAAAAAATACAAGATCTTTGTGCTCTGTTTTGTTGCACAGTTTTTGAATGCAAGAATACATGGTGTGCCTTTGGCACCTTTGCTCATTCCGTGTTATTTGATCTTGGTAAGGGACCCCGAGCGCGGAACATTTGTTTGAAGACATTTGTATGTTTGTATGAAGGTGGTGCTTTAAATTTGATTTACTTCTATGGTAGGAACATCCAGTTTTATGGAATTTATGTACACCATCCATCCATCCAAAATGGATATCTCGGAATAAATTAACCAAAATGTAATATTTTATATCCAGAGTCTGATCTTAAGATCGATACTTGTTTTGATGGTTTGGTCAACACAGTATATTTATATTGGTTGACTGATTTATGTAAACATTTATTATTATTATAAATATATGTAATTAAAATATACACATAATAGGGGTGTAACGTTACACAGAAAGTCACGGTTCGGTACGTACCTCAGTTTTGTGGTCATGGTTTGATACGAGTTCGTTAATTTTTTTTGTCTTTATCTAGATAGATAGATAGATTGATTGATTGTTTTCCCTTTTCATGATTGCCCTAGGCATCTGTAAGCAGGCTATTTCTTCCTGTCTGAAAGTTCAGTCACGATCTTGTCCAACACATTAAGGCAGTCACCTTTTTGCCCTTGGAATTGAGTGCTGAAATGAAAAAGACAAATGCCAGCGTGTTTTAATCTACCGGATATCGCCATATCTCCCCTGCTGTTCCCAGCTAGATAGTATTTACATGTGTAAAACCAATACAGAGGTCAACTCTGTGGCCATCCCTATTTAAGAGCTCTCCTCCCCGGCTTATCTACACTCTATTCACAGTCAGGGAATGATCGATTCTCCTCGCGGCTTCCTCACAATTGAGGGTGACTTGATTTCCTCGCCAAGAGAGCGGGGTCTCCTCCGTTGCATGGCCTCCTCCTTATCACCAGTACAGGAGCTTCTGTATGCTGCACTATTGATCAGGCATGCTAACTGTATTAGAGAGGATGCTCAGAGAATGGAGGTGTAGATCAGTGGGCGGCGAGTTAAAGGAGACTCGCTCTTTTCATCTGAGCGAGGATTTATTCCTCCAGTGACCTCATAACAAGCGTGTGGATGATAAAGACATGATCTCCTGAAGTTATAGGCTCCAAGTCTGGAACTGTGCAATAACCAGATTGGCTTTTGTGAACTTTGTGTTATTTATGGACAAAAGAATAAGTGGGAAGTGAGGTCAAGACTCGATCTGTGTTGGTGTGTTGGTGATGTGTAATGACATTTCCAAGCTCTTAAAAGGATAATTTACTAAAAAAAATCAGATTCTGTCATTTACTCATCCTCCTGCTGTAATACCGGCACTTTTGCTCATTATTTGTTGCTTGATCATGGTGAGTGTTGTTTGCTGAGGAGCATTGTTTAAGGACTTTTGTATAAAGGTGGTACTTTTAAGTTGTATTTTGATTCTTTTTTTTTTAATAGAATTTATGTGCGGATCAGGGGGCATAATTTATTTTTTATAATTTTGTAAATCCCTCAATTTATGGTTGACTGTTTTTGAAAAGAATTTCATTTTTATTTATTATGAAATAAATTTATGAAATAAAATTATTCATATATTTTTTATTTCATAATAATTTTTTTCATGTCAGTTTTTAAAACTGAATTTTTAATTGCATTACATAAAAAAAAAAAAAAAAAAAAAAAAAAAAAACAGATATAGATTCAGATATCATGATGATGGTTTTGATGTTTTATGTTTTGCACATGCTGTAAAACAGAGACATTTCCGGAAGTGGGGTTGAGATTTGAATCTAAATAGTTATAATCACAGTTCTAAGCTCTTAAAAGGACAATTCACTAAAAATGTAAATTTCTTTGATAATTTACTAATGCTTGCGTTGTTCCCAAACCTGTATGACTTTCTTTTGTGGATAAAAAAAAAAGATATATTTTATTTTTGTCCCTGCATTGAAAATCAATAGGGTCCAATTTGTTGTTGTTTTGGACCCTTTGACTTTGACTGTAGGCTATTGACAAAAACAGTTCTGCAAACTATCTTCTTTTTTGCTTCGCTGAAGAAATACAGGTTTGTCATACAGGTTTGGAATGACATTAGGGTGAATAAATGAATTTTCATTTTCTTTCAGTCTCTTTAAGTGTCACAACGCGTGCACCAATGCAATCCCATACTCTAATTGAACCCATTCAGTGTTCGTTTTCCCATGAGCCTTCACAAATTACTGTGACAAATTTAGATTTCACTTCAACAAAGCGCAAATTCACCTTTAGGGTATTACTTCCTGTGTGGGAGGCCTTTATTAACAGTTTCAGGGCAGCTTGTTGCTTGGTGACAGGTCTGAGGTACATGGGAGATCACTTGATGCCTTTAGCGCTGATCTCACATCCTCAATAACACAGACGCTAGGTCTGTCTACATTGAAAATGATGCAGGTGCAGTCGGAAAGCAGCATTGATGTATGTATTTAGATAAATAACCTTTTAGTTTTATTCAATTTCTTACTGTTAGTGTGTTCAAAAGCTGAAAGTTTAGCAACAGAGTTCACAAATGCACTTCCATAAAGTCCACCGCACACTTAGAAAGCGGCAGAGCTCACCTTTAAGATTGGACATCTTCTAAATATGGGTACTTTCGTCAGTTTCATTTATATGGTAATGCAGTATTGCATAGATATAAATACAGCGGTGTTGCAAACCCTTTGAAATGGAAATGACAATGTGCGAAAAGGTCACATTTGCTTCCATCAAATTCATCACAGACTTTAGAATTTTCAAAGGGAAATATCCATAATGTAGGTCAAGGGGTCTGATGTTTTGTGAAACCCTGTGTCCGTTTTGAATCGAATTTTAACATGGAGGAAAAAAGTGTTTAAAAAGTAAACGTTTATGAGCTTTCATTGTGAAATGCTATTAGCATAAGCCTTTTTTCAGTACTGTTAGATAATATAATATGATTATGATTACTTCAGACTCATATTTGTGGCTTACTGGCAGTAAATTAGATAATAATCAGTTATGACTTGTTATATAGAATACTTATGCTTAAAAATTTATTTTCATCAACTTAGCCTACAGGCCATTAGCCTATTTACTTCAGAAAGCTACAGTTTGTGGCTAGTTTTACAATATATTAATTTTAAACCTCTCAAATGTGTAGAGGAACCCCTGAGAAGCATGTAGATGTACACATTTTTTGAGTTTGCTGATGAAAGGTGTGAAGTTTAGCTCTCTCTGTACCGTTTATGTAGCATGTAGCATTAGCATTCACAGAGATCTGTGTGATTCTCTTGTTGAAATTGGAAAAAGACAATCCATTGAGCAATCTTTTGTTGACTGCAACAACTGGGAGATGTGAATGTTGTGAAATTATTACAATTTCCAATACATATTTTCTGTTTTAATGTATTTTAACATGTAATTTATTCCTGCAATGGCAAAGCTGAATTTCCAGCAGCCATTACTCAAGTCTTCTGTGTCATAATGCAGCTATTGTTTGTCTAGTTTTACAACATATTCATTTTAAACTTGTCAAATGTGTACAAGAACCCCTAAGAAGCTCACAGATGTACACATTTTTTGAGTTTGCTGATAAAAGGGGTGAAGTTTAGCTCTCTCAGTGCTGTTTATGTAGCATGTAGCATTAGCATTCACAGAGATCTGTGTGATTCTCTTGTTGAAATTGGAAAAAGACAATCTTTTGTTGACTGCAGGGACTGGGAGACGTGAACGGATGCGACTTGTGACAAACAGCAGTTTGGCGTCTGGCGTTATCTTGTTGAGCGACAAGTTAGGGGGTGAGATAACAGAGCTCACTTCCTGCTCTGGCTTAGCATGGGACAAAACAAGAGGTGTGAACAGACTCCGGCGTTCTGAGGTTATGTTTTCATCTCTGGGTGTATTCATCACAGAGGCTGCTGTCAAAAGCGTCTCTTGGTAATGTCAAATAGAATTGGGTTTTCCGACATCGTGAACTCCCATACGAATTGCACATCAGCTGTACATAGCCTGCGGCGTAGTGTTCCTGATCAGCTTCGCTGCTCATACGGCTCACAATAAAAGCTGGACTGGTAAACATGAAGCATTGATAAATTCAGTGGCCCACTGGTATGTATCTGGGCTTAAATACAAGAGTTTTGTGGTTGTTAATCCATGTGTGTTAGATTTTATGGTATCTTTGTGCAATTCTTACTGCTAAATATTGACAATTCACTTTTAACTGATATACACTATTGCTCAAAAGTTTGGTGTTGGTAAGATTTTGTAATATTTTTGAAAGGAGACTATTATACTGGACAAGGCTGCATTTATTTGTTAAAAATACAGAAAAAATAACCGTTTTCTGTTATAATATGTTTTAAAATGTAAATTTATTCCTGTAATGCAAAGCTAAATTTTCAGCATCATTACTCCAGTCTTCAGTGTCACGTGATCCTTCAGAAATCATTCTAATATGCTGATTTGCTGCTAAAGAAAGATATCTTATCATTGTCATTGTTGATATTTTTGTGAAGCACAAGCTGCATTTTTTTAGGATAGATAGTTCAAAATAAGATTTATTTGAAATAAACATTTTTTTGTAACTATGTAAATGTCTTTACACTTTTAATCAATTTAATGCAGCTTTGCTGAATAAAAGTATAGAAGTAATAAAAGTAAAAAAAAAAAGTATTGACCCCAAACTTTCGAAGGGTAGTATATGTGCAACAGTGCTTTAAAGGGTTGACTTTAGCGATGCAACTTCTTAGAGAAGCTTTTAAAGTATATGCAGCAAGTTGAAAACTCTCAGAGAAGTTGCATTTCTGAATTCACACCCTTTAAATCAAAACTTTGAAGCTAAAATGCAAATTAAAGAAAAGAAAAATCCATATACACTAGTCAGCCTCACTAATCAACTAGTGGGT